ATTTTTTTTGTCTTCGCATAAAATGCACTATCCGTTTTTTATATTTTTATTGTGGGTTTTATGATTTTGTTTATGTCGACTGTGATATTTGATGCTGTTTCACTTAGGAGAATCACATTATGTGATATTCCTTGACCTTTTAGAAGCAACATTGTCAAATGTGATTGTAGTGTTGAATTATTGGTAGGAGTTAAGCTGGTTTGCTTATGTTCTTGAAATATCCTTTTTCTTTTTTTGGTTTGACAATCAGGATTTTTGATTCATCCCTTTTACCATGCCAATTAGGCTGGTACACGTCCCTTTTCATAGAGCTTGATGATTATTCTCTTTTGGTGAATATTCGTGACCTCTATTTCCTTTTGGCAACTCTTTGTGCTTCAAAAACTCTATGACTAATTTGATCAGACCCTTTCTAACTTTTTGTGTGTTCTTTTTGATAAGAAGTTGAATAAACTGAACTGCTTACTTTGTTAAGAAGCAGTATTTGGCGTCAGTTACAAAGATAGCCATCTTAGCCCTAGCCACCCTAGTTAATAAATTAAGATGACTAACCTAGCTGGGTAATAGTATGACCCTAGTTGGCCGGTAGACTTTACGCACGTGTATCACTCTCTGCTAGGAAGATTTCAGTAGGTAGGAGTTTGCAAAATATGTGCTTGTATTTGTATCTTATATGAGCTCTGGTATCCTTCTAACTGATGCTATGATATATTTTTGAAGAGCTGATTGGTACTAATGGATTTTAGTATCTTGTGCACTAAGACGATGAGCACATCCATCAATGATCATGTAGATTCCTCTCTGCACATTACTAGAACTCGAAATCGGAAGAGAAGACAGCCCACAGTAGTCATGTACTACAACTTCTATATAGAAATACAACTGCTATACTCTGGGTTCTCTGTGTCAGGGATAAAGGTTAAGAACTGACCATGGTGATGAGATAGCACGACCCATGTCTCCTTTCATTGTGTCATCAATTCAATGACTGCTAGAAATCTTCTGGTTGCGTCATGGACTCCTATGAAGTGTTGATTATAACTTCTCATTTTCCAGTTTGATTTGTTCTCATCTGAGTAGATATCTCTACCAAATTATGGATATTTAGGATAATTGAAATTGACCCACATTTGAAACTCTTCTGTTAATTGGCGAATGCTCTGAGGAGTTAAGGTTTCTTGTCAAGTCATCAACACGAAGCACATCATCTATTCTTGCAACAATGTTGAATGCCAAACTCTCCAACACTCTAGAGTAGCTCTCCAGTATTGATTGTCCAATATCCTGCACAATGTAGATAGATAAGTAAGCCTGTGTTTGTTTTGATCATCCTGGTGTATTATTGCCTAGCAAAACAATATTTTGATCATTTAGGTCAAACGGATTTTGTAGCAGTAAGATTTTTGAGATAAGGAGATTTCAATAGTGGACAGAGACAAAAATAGAATTAAACACGTTTAGTGTTACAATCAAACACACCCTATGCCTTTTTAGAGGGATTTTTAACTACACTACACCATCAAAATTGGTTATTAATCAAAAAGTAAAAATTGCAGAAAAATGGCAATATTTTGCCAGAACTCAACAAAATGGTTTGCACCACACTTGAAATAAGCATGGTCTTCAGAGGGGTACAAATTTGTTAAAAGAACCATCTCAAAATTTGCAAATTATCCATGCTTGACATGTTCTGATAGTCTAAGTTGAACTATGGAGAAATTTCAGATGAACAAAGTCCAAGCGTCAAAGTTACCAATTAGCCAAATTTTTCCAAAAGTTACACAAAATTGAAATTTCTTCGAGAACTTCAAAAGTAGTTGTCCCACCATTTTCATACTCTGAAAAGTCTGAGTTAGGGTCATAAATATTCAAAGATGAGCTAAAACCATCTCAAAAATTACAAATTAACCTAATATTTTAATGGCAAGAGATTAAGAAAACTTAGGTTCAGGGATAGTTTAATACAAAAAAAAGAAAAAACAGATGACCTCAAAAGTTGCAAGTTAACCGAATATTTTGTGAAAGATGTTAAAATTGTTGAACGAACTTTGCTTCAGGGCTGCGTCTTGAATAAATAAAAACGCACCTTAAAAGTTCAATGTCAACAATTATGGGGTTTTTTGTAGTATGCATAAACTCTTCCTTTAACACAATGTTAACAGTATAAAAAAAAGAAACTCAAATTAAACCAATCTTTTCATCATAATGTATTTAGCAAAACTTGACACAAGGTTAAGCAAAGTTGTGAGCTAATAAGACATTTTTTTGTGAGCTAATAAGACATTACATACCTTGTTATATTGTATTTTGCTCGTGTCCAAGGTTGTCTGAGAAAGTTCAGGAAACCTAAGCTTCAAGTTTGACAATAGGCTTTCAGTTCTCTTCACCAGCATTTCTATCTTCTCTCCATCCACCATCAAGTCTTTGACCATATCCCACGAGGATTTTGAATTGTGCGCACATTTTCGTTTCCATACATAGATTGCTGCCTCGAATCGATCAGCCAATTCGAGAGCTTCGTGCTCTGATGATATATGAAGACAGTCTAAGAGATAGTCTGAGGAGAACTGCTCTGAATTAGTTATGTACCGGTGGATAGCATCGCCAAGACTGGCTCTCCCAGTCTGCATGAAACATTTTCATGGTCATGTGTTTTCTTTTTTTTTTTTTTTTTTTGAGAGAGAGAGAGAGAGAGAGAGAGAGAGTAGGTGTACGTACGT